GACGGACGAACAGGGTGACGACGTGCCGCTCGCATCTGCAGTTCAAAGAAAACATCAAAACTTCGAGGTTCTTGGCTTAGCCTCACGCCATTCAGAAAGGAAGGAAAATCGCAGGTACGCCAGACTGATCAGGTCTGGTATCACGACGACATGGATGGGTCTTCGTTGGCTCGTGCCATCCATGCGTCCACGAGCCCCCTGCTTCGACATGAAGTTAAAAGGAAAACCGAACAAATCCAAAAGGATCCCTATGATTCCAAGGGTTACACACACACATATATATATATATACAATACACTGTTCAAAATGCTCATGTTTATCGGACTCTTGACCATGCGTGCACGCCAAAGCACCAAAATGATGGTTTGGCCTGCGTGGTCTTGTCCTCTATCTGGTCTGGGGTCCTAAGAGCAACTTCTTGTGTGTTCGCCCGGGCCTTTTTGTTGATACGCCGCATCGGCCTATCCCCAACCCCAACGAACCATTCATTTACCTTATATTATGATGCCTCTAAAAATCGTTAAAATGTCTTCGATTGGCAAGGCTCTGTTTTGAAATCTCCTCAGCTTCTGAATCATCTGAAGCCTTCTCCATCTCTTCCTGGAAAGTCACTCTGTCTTCCAGCTAAAATCAGCTAAACCAGTTGACCTGATTTTAGGCACAAGTCAACCACACCCAACTGACTCCAATTGATGGCACAAGTCCTCCCAGAAATCTTCCACGTTTTGGTTCGTGGACCTTGCATCGATGCACCCGTGCATGAAGCTGTCCGGCCAATGAGACCGCAAAGGGAACGTCTCAGATTTGTTCATATATCGTCTGAGTTCCTTATGACGTTTGGCCTCCTACATACCTCCTACCAGTGCTGGCAGGAAGGAGTTCGGAGTTGGGTCTGTTTCAGCCAAAAGGCATACAAATATGCCAGTCTTCTTCAGGCGCATCTGATTCTGTCTCATGTGGGTCTATCACTTCAGCTTCTCTCTTCTCTTCAGAATTTTGAAGAGAGTCAGAGTTGTCAAAGCACTGGGAGACTTCATGTGCCTTAGTGTCCGTGATCTTTGCAAGCAGCAAGCTCTAACTTTGCACTCATCTGCGCTGCAACCAGGCTCAATGGCATGAGTAATGCATCATCCACTGGAATTATGTAGTCGAGTTTCAGGCGGCTTTGGGTAGCCTCAGCGAGCAAAGCAAGTGGGAACAGTCTGGCACTGGGGATCAGAAACTTATTGCAGCCGGAAGGCTGGCAATTGTCTTAGAAAGCTCACTAGGTTCAGAACCTTGGACCGTTGACAGGACCAAAACAGGTTCACGACAATTCGTTGTCAGCTCTACCACCACACATGTAAGTAGTTTCTCTGCCTCTTTTTCCCCGCGGTTGTTGGAAGAAGTTTGCAAACAAAAACAAACATTACTATAGAAATCAATATATATATATATAGTTGGGCAACACTACTGGACGCTTCCGCTGTTGGAAGTAACTGGACTTCACTTGTTGACCTGTTGATTCATGTTGGCATGTGCTGCAGTTCCTGAACAGCTGGAATCAGGAAGCAGAACAACACTGCATCCAAGTAGCGAATCTTGTTGCCTCAGACTTCTCAGACTGCTCACGTCTCATCACTAACTCGTATGGAATAGGAAGCTGCGTTCAATGCACACCCGAACTCCTTCTAAAAGCCCTAGGTTTTAAAGCATTGGACTAAGGTTGGTCAACACATAAGGCCTATTAGCCGCATAGTTCTTCTTGATTGTAAAGCTGTAACTACAGTATGTCTTGGAGCACTCTGTGACCATTTCATGCCCAACAAAACCTGTGTTCACCCTACTTTTCTTGGTTGGCTTCCGGGCAGCTTCCACCAAGTTGCGATTGAGCTTATCGTCATGCAGCCCAGGCCTCTCGCAAAAGGAGATTGATTGATTGAACTTCACAACTTAACTAACTCCACAATTGGTTCCAAGTACCAACAAAAGAGGTGGAGGGAAATCATTTGCAACTTTAACATACTTTAACTGTGGCAGGCAAACGACCACGGCCTACTCAATGCCCTCAACTCCAACTTAACGCGCCAACACTTTAGGTTCTTGGCCCACAACAGTACTTCCAGAAGCGTGTGGTACAGAAATCATGTGTGTGTACTTCAAATCTGTCCAGAACCTCCCGGCGAAAGATCGGGTGTTGTTCGGATCGGATTCATAGGATCGGAATCTGATTGGTCAGATCGGAATCGCAGGAGTGACGGGCGCGTGCTTGGCAACACCATCCCCACCATCCCGACCGTCATCCTCACTGGTGCACGCAGGTCTCATCCATCCCGACCAGCCCGCACAAGCGTCTTGTGGACGCTGATCCCTCACTAACGCTGTTTGAAGACTATTTTATTCCTACTGTCGTTATAACTGGTTGTGCACCGACCGTCCCGACCATCCCGACAGTCCCGACCAAGCGTCTTGTCGACGCTGATCCCTATTATAACTAACGCTGGCTCGGCGAGGTCGAATAAAAGCTATTCCTACAGTAATTTTAGCTGGCTGTGCACGGACCGTCCCGACCATCCCGACCAAGCGTCTTGCCGACGCTGATCCCCAACTAACGCTGATTCGGCGAAGTCGTAAAAACACTATTCTTACTGTCGTTCTAACTGGCTGTGCACGGACCGTCCCGATCATCCCGACCGTCCCGACCATCCCGCCCGTCCTGCTAGAATCTGATCCTACGACGCTGATCCGGCCAATTAGAATCTGATCCCAGACGCTGATCCCTGACGCTGATCCGGCGAAGTCGAATCTGATCTGGCAATTACCCCGAAAGATCCACAACAGTTCCCTAGCGCCCTACCAACTAGCCGCGCCTCCACATACGCCGCTCGACAACGCGCTCTTGAACTTTGACCACCGGCCCTGTGCTCCAGCCTGGCTAAGCAATCAATTTGAACTTATCCTGCTACTCGATGCTACTCGCACGCGCCCACCGTATTCGTGTCACACCACCACTGTCATTTATGCATTCCACTGCCTGGTACATCGTCGTCAGGGCCAAAAGTCTCCGAGTTCTTTGCATCGTATCCAGCCTCTTCACCCTCACAGAGAGGAAAAAAAGAAGCAGCTGCTAAATCCTTTATCAGAATCCACCCGCGTGCGCCTCACGACGCTCGATTTGCATCAGCAAAAACCTCTGTCCATGCGAAATAGATCGAAATACCATGAAACATCGTTGCTTGCACAGATCGCATAATTATTGAGTTACATACTTGCTACTTTGTCCTCAGCTTTGGGCTCATCTACGCTACATGCAATCGGCCCATCACCAGGTTCGCCAGGCAACCTACGGCGGCGTTCTTTCAAGATTTGAGATTTGAGGATTAGACACCAGCGGTCACCAGCATTGGCACTGGCAACTCCAATTCCAGATGAGAGACACTTGTGCTTGCGCCCACTGGTCTTGTGACCAGTCCTCTTGGGCCTCTTGGCTTGCACGCCTGGGGTGCCTCAGCAGTTCCAGGACCTTTCGCGAATGAGACTTGTCCAAAGAATCCCTTAATTTCACGCCCTCACTCTGAACCGGCCAAGTGTCTGTTCACCCTTTCGCTTCTCTGCCCGGCCCAATGCTGCAGCCTGACAATTCGGAATAGAACACGCTGTGGGCAAGGGTCTGGCCATTCGTGGGCTTGGTGCGGAAATCCGTCTTTCTGGTGACCTCTTTAGTCTGGTCACTGATCAAGTTTCTGCCACTATAATGTAGCAGCCCCTGCCATGACTTGCACACCTCAGCCAATCATGGCGCCTCTTCCTTCTTCAGCTCTTCCCGGATCATCACTTCCTCTTTCCGTGTGCGTGGGGCTGGGCCCTCACTGCGGCTTCGCTTGCTGGGCGGGCGTGGAGCGATTGCTTTCCTGACATGAGTTGCAGAGACTCCCTCAAGTGAAGTTGCTCCGGCCGAGGGAAGCAGGCTTAGACTTGGACTGTATAGATATGTATATATATATATTATACTATATATATAATCTATATATATATATACTCTATATATATAATCTTATTTGTATAGTATATAAAATATAAATACCCACCGATTCTATGACATAGGTCCTAGGATGTCCTAGGTCCTAGGTTCCTGCTCAGGTCACATCTACCCAAATGTGAAAGACACATCATTCAAACCACGCCCAGCGTCTCCACCAGCGCGCGTGCCCAGCGGCCAACACGTTCATCCCGGCGAGCTTTGGTGGCCATGCGTTTGGCGCGGAGCCGCTCTTCCTCTTGCTCAGGGTCTACAGGCTTCACATGGCGACTGCCAGATGCCCTTCCTTGGCAACGGTTGTCCGAATGTTGTCCGATACTTGAGATCTTAAACCACAGGGATCTCCAAGATTGTCCAAACCATGGGCGCTTCCGGTACTTCATGATATTTCATGACAATGAGTTCCCTCCAACTTCCAGCGCCCGACCACCTAGACAAGCGCATGGATTCGACCGAACCAACACGTGTGAGATTGACATGAGAACTCCCCCAAAGTGCGAAGCTTCTTGACATTGAGAACAATCACAAGTAACGAAAGATTCCTTTGGTTCTACGACTGGTTCCACGGTCCATCACCAAGACACCAATTTCGGCCAATCCCTCGAAGCAGCGATTGGCCCAGCGCGGCCGCCGCAGCGGCGGTCGGTCGCCCTGCCGTTCCTCCAGGGCCGCCACCGCCTGGGCCGCCGGAGTCTCCTCAGAACTCTCAGTGCTTTGCCGAAGCCAACGGCTGTGAGGTGCCTTAGAGTCCACACAAGTCAAGAGCATGGGAAGCGCTTGGTACCTGATTTCTGAACGCCCCCCATGGAGCGCACCGACCATGAATCTCTTCTTTACATGCTTCAGGGCGGTGGAAGTGCATCAAAGTAACATAAAGTATGCGTGAGAAAGGTTGAGCAAACGTCAACCTATCTTGAAGCTTCAAACAACGAAACAACTTCAGATCTAACACACACACACACTCATGGATATGTGTGTACGGACTTGATAGCGGTGCCACTCGCCAGCCTAAGAGACCCAAATCCTGAAAAACCAGGTGAGGAAACTTAGAAAGGAAAAAGAGGACCTAGAAAGGAAGTAGAGTACCATCAGCTCCAAAAGAAAAGCGCCGAGCGAACGACCGACAAGGTGACGACGTTCGTGCAAAAAAGTGTCAAGTTCACAATCTGAAGTGACTCACCGCTGCATTAGACGCTTACTGCAAAACACAGAAGTGGAACAGCTTGAAAACAGTTCACGTTGCAGGTACAGGAATGTGCGTCCACATTCCCTTCCGGCTGAATCCCGTAGCTTCGTTGGCATGGCTAGGGAAACAGCTGCCATGCCCCCTGCTGTAAAACAAAAGCAAATGCAAAAGCATCCCTATGACTCCAAGGGTGACACACACACGCCTCCCCGAGGGGAGGCGAGAAGCTAAGGTGAGGGCCGATGTGCACGTGTGCGCGCACAAGAGACAAGAAAATGAAGACATGACAAGAGGACGAGACGGGACAAAGGTGCGTGTGGTGGAAATGAAAGGGGAACCAAGTGCACAGGGACAACCGATGAAGCCCACCTCATTGTAAAGACCTGGGCGACCTGAAACCTGTGTTTAAATGTGTGTAGAAGTGCACGTACACACTAAGGCCGGGACCAATGTGCGCGCAAACGAAGAAAAGGATGAGATGACCAGACATGAAGACAGGAGGACATGAAAGAAAAGAGGAAACAAGAGTATGTGAAGGGAGGGATGAAAGGGGGAACCAAATGGAGGGGACGAGAACCGATGAAGCCGAGCCTCATTAAAACGACCTAGGAAAACCTGCCTCGTTTGAATGTATACGCTGTATGTGCACCCAAGGTCTCGACAGGTTCCAATGAACCTTGAACAGGCTTCGGCCGCTGCGGCCACGTACGCCGTGCCAAAATGGCTGGCTGCTTCTTAGACCGCTGCGGTCACGTAACGGCATGAGCCAACTTGGAATTCCAAAGATGAGAGACAAAAATCGTCGGACGTACGGCCTAGGCCACCTTCGCCCGCTCTGGGCATCTACATCTCCGGGCAGAGGAGATAACGACGTACACCCGTTCGACGGGTCCACGGGAGGCACTCTGCGGGCTCATCCCGGGTTGGCACGAGGCCAAACACACTCATGGATATGTGTACGGACTTGATAGCGGTGCCACTCGCCAGCCTAAGAGACCCAAATCCTGAAAAACCAGGTGAGGAAACTTAGAAAGGAAAAAGACGACCTAGAAAGGAAGTAGCGTACCATCAGCTCCAAAAGAAAAGCGCCGAGCGAACGACCGACAAGGTGACGACGTTCGTGCAAAAAAGTCAAGTTCACAATCTGAAGTGACTCACCGCTGCATTAGACGCTTACTGCAAAACACAGAAGTGGAACAGCTTGAAAACAGTTCACGTTGCAGGTACAGGAATGTGCGTCCACATTCCCTTCCGGCTGAATCCCGTAGCTTCGTTGGCATGGCTAGGGAAACAGCTGCCATGCCCCCTGCTGTAAAACAAAAGCAAATGCAAAAGCATCCCTATGACTCCAAGGGTGACACACACACACACACACTCTCACACACACACAGACACACACCGTGTGATGTTGATCAAGCAGCAAGATCTCAAACGCCTGACAAGGCCTAAACAATGTCAAAACAAATCCAACAACTTACCACATATTCTTGATCAGCCATGTTGCAGGTACTGCCTGCGTTGGTTGCTCAGCATCTACAGCTGAAGAATGATCTTCTTCAGCCCCAAGACTCACGGACGCTTTGTGGCAAGAAAGGCCAACTATACCCCACTCCCCTTGAAAGTCCAAATGCTGAACTTCCAAGTTGTCGATCTGGGTGCCTATCTTTAAGCTCTCAAGAAGCCCAGCACGGCGTGCGTGGTTCGCATCCAGAAATGCTCTGCAGGAGCGGCCGATGTCGATGAACACCGTGCGATGTGTAATGCGTTGGACTTTTCCGCTCACGTGGTTCCCAATGCCCAGACCCAACGTGGCAACGAGCACATCTCTCTCCCACTTGGTACTTCTCCCAGGCTGATGATCTCCACGGCCAAGCAATTCAGTCATGAAAGATGCATCTGCTTTCGCATGGTTTGGAACATCCGCTTGGGCAAAGACCACGATGGAATCCTTTGGGGCTCCTGCACCCTGAACCATCGGCAGGATGCTTTCACGGATCACTTCCTCCCCGTATCGACCGATGGCTTTCTGCTTGGTTCCAAAGAGACGCAAGTACGCTGTATTGCAGGTACGGGCTAGGCTAGGCCACCCATCTTCGAGGTCCCCGCACCAGCCGTCTGAATTCTTGATATGAATCCATGCCATGCACAAGCCCCACCTGCGCAGCAGGGCAACGACTTCCTCACGGTATTGACCATACCAGGAGCTGTGTCGGAACTCGAAGACATGCAAAACCTGCGGCTAAGACAAGCTTGCATCTCCAAAACGTCTGCCACACGTGCACGCATGCAATGTTAGAATCAAATCCCCCAACTCCAACTTGGGCTGCTGAGGGCTCAGCATTCTGGGGCAAAGATTTTGCTAACCTCGAAAATCCACTGGAGAAGTCTCGCAATGCATCAAAACATCTCAGAAATTCTCAACTCTCAAGCAAATTAAGCACACAGCGTATTGTATGGTGTTGAATTGGCGTCCACTGTGATTCTAGTGGCCTCGAACGCCTAGATCCCCAGAAAGCTGTGGAGCCGGCTCTTCCAATTCGGAGAGGGTTTGCCGTGTGCATCCTCGGCTCAAATGGCTTGAGGATTGAGAACTGAGAACTCAAAAGGTCGCATGAGGGCCCATTCTGAGGTGCATGAGCCTCTATTGACTCGTTGGTGCTCCATGCTTCTCCAATAGGTGCTTGCGCTTTTGCACGGTCGAGAAATCACAGTCCTATCACCCCAACTGCATCAAGGTATGATGATTGAACTTGAGCCATCTTGAGCCGCATTTGGCAGGTGACATCAGGAGCCCCTAGTAGCTTCTTGTTCCTAGTAGTAAGGCCAAGAGCCCCCAGTAGCGTCCTTGCTCCTAGTAGCGATGCCAGGAGCCCCTAGTAGCGTCCTTGCTCCTAGTAGCGATGCCAGGAGCCCCTAGTAGCATCCTTGCTCCTAGTAGTAAGGCCAAAGGGCTGTGCGAAGGTGCAAGCTGCCACAAGAGGCCGCCTAGAACGCCAACCTGGCACGGGAGTTGATTTGGTCAATCGCCGCTTCTCAATTCCTAGTAGTGCACAATTCCAGGAGCCAAACTTGCCCCCATGTGGCTTTTTACAAGGAAAAACCGTATATAATCTCCTGACCTTTTGGAGCTCGCCATACTTCGCCCACAACTGCGGCCACCACTGTCCTGGGCCTCAGACACACTGGTCAGCATCTGTGAGCTGGTGGTTTGAAGCGGGCACAGAAGGGGTTGAGGGAATTCCTATCTTTGTGTTTCTATCCCACTGAGCCATAGAATGGTGAGTCCAAAGATTCGTGGCCAAAGTCAAAGTCACCAAATCGATCAACGTGATCTGGAAGGAACTTGACACGTGCATTGACAGTCCCCTATGTCAATTTGTTGGGTCCATATACAGCCATCTTCATCCACAAACACGAGACACGAGCGCACTCCATTCCGTCACTTCTGATCGTTGGTGCCCACAAAAACATCCACAAACACAAGAAGGGACTGTGGTGCTACCCTTTATTGGGGTCGGTAGTCAACAATCTAGGACAGTCCCCCGGAGACCGGCAACCATCCAATGTCGAACACATCTCCTATGCTAAGTGCCCCACTGCGCAAGCGCCATTCATGAGTCGCAACACCTGACACCTTCACAAGCACATGTGCTAAGATAACCCCTTGCACTTCTCGACGGGAGTGGAGCCGTGACGGCATGTCAGAGCCGTGATTTGGAGCTTCTCTGGTGCATTTGGAGCTTCAGCACCGACAGAGTCCCCTTTTTAAAGCTTGCAGCGCTGCAAGGCTTGGAAATCGAGCTGCCAACTCCGATCAATCACGTCAAAGGGCGTGGAGAGTGGCGAAAGTGGCCGCATGCAATTGCAGTGCCCGATGGCTCTTGACAAAAGGCACTGAGATTGCCAAAGCTGAGCTAAGCCGCTAATGAAAGCTCGTGTCAAAAACCTTGGTCAAATTAACAGACCAAATGACAAAATTACCAAATGATTTGGGATCCCTCTTTGCTCCTTATGATCCTTCAAGGTTCTGCCTGACACAACTCGACACAGCGCCCTGGTCGTGGATCGTATTGGCGATGCGTTGCAGCGCTCTCTTTGAGAGCGCTGAAGGAAATCATTTGCTCTGAGAAGTCCAGGCCAAGCCAAGAAAACCTGGAAAGTAGTTGGAGGTTTTGTAGGGGCCGCACATGGATTAACACTGTTCAGAATGACTGTGTTCATTGTGGCATGCTGTGGTGAAGCAATGTGACCCCGGCAAAAAGAGAGGAAGGTCTTCGGGCTATCGAATGTGCCCAGTGCAATGAATTCAGCCTGCATGGCGTCGCAGTATTCCAGGGAGAGAGCCTGGCCGCTCTCCAAAGTGAAGCGTGCTTGGCTTCCAAACATTTGGATGCACCGAGCCCACTCTCCAACGACGGAGTCGTCGTTGCTGCCCCGTCTGTTCGGATCAACCTCTGAGCCTCGGAGTCAGAGACCCTCTGAGTGTTTGGATATGAAGACTGGCATTGGAAGCTACTGGTAGCTTCTTTGCTTCTAGTAGTAAGGCCAGGAGCCCCTAATAGCGTCCTTGCTCCTAGT